CAGCCAATTTGAAGCTTGCATTTTGAAATCAACGCTTCACATTGGCTGTCGCAACAAACTTGCGATCGGCTTACGTCTAATGTAGAATGGACTTTATGCGTTATTCAAGTCTGTGTTGGAGCCTTTAACCTGTTGTAACAGCTCATGTATCTCACATGTATCTCACATGTTTGGTATTTTGTATTATAAGTATTACCAAATACAATCAAGTAGTAAATATTTAAAATAAAAATGGAAGAACAGAGAAAACGAGTCGAAGATCATATGACGAAAATGGTCGAAGAAATCGACAAGATGTATTTACGGAAAATACAGGTACTTTTGGTGAATGTTAGATTGTGGTAATTATATGGTTTACCATCCGCAGCTCAAAAATGATTGAAATTGAGCTTATTCGATGCATTTTTGTACGAAACGAAAGAATTTGGTAGAAAAAAGTGTCGCTCTGTCCCACAAACCGAGATATTAAGCGTTAAAGTTATCGATTATTCAGGTTAGGAAATCTGTCAGCCACGCAACAGTGAACAGTGCAATGTGAGCATGAAAAATATGTATAGGGTGACAGTACGTTCCCCTACAGGGGGGAGGAGTGTTCCACTCCGAAAAAAATTATCTAACCCATTTCATATTTTGGTGTCAGATGGACGTCGCTTCGCGTGGAAAATTGTAAAGTTATGTGTAATCTTATAGATTAGATCCACCCTATACCAAAATATGGGTTGAGTTTTTTTTCGGAATGAAGCTCTCCCTCTGCCATAGGGAAACATACTGTCTCCATACACATACTTTTCGTGCTCACACTGCACTAATGCATGTCTGTGACAGATTTCCTAACTTGAATAGTCGTCAACTTTAACGGTTAATATCTTGGTTTGCGGGACAAAGCGACACTTTTCTACCAGCTTCTTTCGTTTCGTGCAAAAACACGTCGCACAGTTTTATTGATTTTTGAGCTGCGGATGCTAAACTGTATAATTACCAGAGAACTATTTATTACCTAGATAACCAAATCTTCCAAGATCACATTTTTAAAATTGTGTGCTGTATACTGTATTGGCAGAACTCCAGCAGTAGCCGAGCATGATCTTTGTCTTAGTTAAGGATCATTTATACTAGCTGTAAACTGTTAACTTATGCTATAAGTTATAAGGATAAATTGATCAATCACATTTAAATGTGAGGAGGATGAAGTCATTATTTTCCTCACATTCGACTGTCAATGGTTAATTTCTTATAGCTTACGGCATAAATTAGCAGTTTACGGCCAATACAAATAATCCTTTAAGGTGACCCTACATAGTCAATAATACCGTCAGTATTGATAAATACTGACATTATTATTGATCGTGTGTTGTAAATATTGATGGATTGATGATAGAATACTAGTAGTGATCTTGATTTTGATTTTTAAGCACCCAATATGTATCTCTTTATTAGGATCTATGTCACACAATAAGTTACAATATATATATACAATAGATATTGTACATAAAACTAAAATGAAATACATTGTCAATAATATTGATTGTGTAAGATTATAAAAATATTTAAAATATTAATGCATACTGTCAGTATTATTGATCAGTATTATTGATCGTGTAGGGTTACCTTTAGGGAAATACAGCAAAAAAATGAGCAGTCCCTGTATCAAGATGTACTGTGAAAGATGCTGCAAAAATCAAACAAAATAAAATTAACAATTGTTTCTTTTGATTGGTACATGCAAGGAAATAAAAAGTAATCCATAATAAATATAAACATCATATATATGCAGCATGCAGCGCTCAATGCACGAACGAATTCTAGCATATATCAGAGCAGGCATGACTGTATGCATGTTATCATTCAAGAAATCGAGCATCGTGTGATTCCATCTTTACTACTAATACCGGCAGTTACTGTACTTTCAAGTTGTATAACTCAAAGAATACTTAATGAATAAATATGTTATTATATTTTGAAAAGCTCTCGAGATAAGCTATACGAGAATATATGCAATAAAAATGACTCCTATTTAAAAAAAAAATTTTAAGGACTTTGTCCTGACTTTGACGACATCCAAGATTAAACCAATGATACCGTTTTATGTTTCCCTCGAAGTCACAAAACTTTTGTCTGAATCATTTTTCGATTTAACGCTGTGCTTCTGAGTTATTTGATTATTCTTTAAAATGAGACAACCTGTATATAAAATTATATTTATGATTTTAGAGGGATATGCATAAGTGTGCTGCACAATGTTGTGAAAATGAATCATATAGCATACAAAAAGTACATACCTGTGTGGAGAATTGTAGTTCCTCTTTGAATAAAGCACAACAATACGTTCAAGGAGAGTTTGAACGAGTACAGGTAATAAAACTTGTTCAATTTGTTTTAATCTCCGTAATTTAGCTGTTTGTGTATTTTATAAAATTTTGCATAGGAAACTTAAGCCCGATCTACATAATCAAGTGAATCATATATACAATGTTAGATATTCAAGCTAAGAGAAACTCAAGGCAAAACATCTCAACTTGTGATCTTTCAAAGAAGTATGTTTTCCTTGCTTTTATTTAATTTATAAAATACGAAATTTTCCAGAATCGTTTACAAAGGTGCATAATGGAATGCAATGATAACATAAAAGACAAAATGGGTCCAAATCCGACTCAGACTGAAGTGGATAGATATAGCGAAGAATTTGAAAAATGTGCCACCAAGTGTGTAGACTCTTATTGCGATTTACTACCGAGTTTGGAAAAAACTATGAAGAAAGTTCTCAGTAAAAATGAATTCTCGTAACGTTTTTTTCACTTGGGAAATAAATATCAACTGTCTCTCATTTTTAACGTCTTTAATTAAAGATGTTCTATATTTTAGTACATTTCCAGACAAAATAGTACATTTTAGTACATTTCCAGACAGTAGTAGTACATTTTCAGACAAAATTTATTTACGAAGTAAGCGTAGCATTTGAATATTTATATATATAAATTATTGCAAATATATATACATATATATTCGATATGATTATTTTTAATAACCCTAATTAAATTTATCTCAGAAAAAACCTTGGCTTAACCTTATTTATTCTTTTTTTTTCTCTTCCTTTATACTGCATTTTTTACATTTTGTAATTTTGGGATTTAAAAAGAATTATTTTTCCTGTACCATCTGGGAAATAATGGTACGCAAGAAAATAATTCTTTTTGCTCTTTTATACTTGGTAATTGCAAAATGCCGTTTTTTCCCAGCTTCGTTATTTTTTGCTGATCGATTTTTCCCGCTCCGCTTGGCGTAGCGATGTTCAAGAAAAACATTGATGCTATAACAATCGATTATGATCCAGTTCGATTCTTAATCGATTCATCATAGAAAAAGCACCGATGTTGGTAAAATCGATGATTTAAAAACAAAAATTCTGATTACTGAATTTTATTGTTTTTTTTATTATTATAAACTATTAGAAGTTGGAATTACAATTTTTTATTATTCATATCACTTCTTATCATAGACTTCTAGTTTCTTATGATCATAAACTTCACTTTAAAGCGAGCGCTTGCAAAATGAGTCGGCTTCCAATTGGATCAAGTGGCCAGTGTTGTTAGACGGGCCGGATTTCTGGCGAATGCGTGTCCAATGTAAGTTCAGTAACGTACCGATCACTAGTAAATAGGAGATCATTAGTCGGCTGTGTAAAATTTGTTCAAAAATGTTGAAAATTTTAATATATTTAACATATGTAAACATATATAGAAATATATTTATATATATGTATATATATGTAAAACTGCCAAAGTTGCCGCCATTATGTGCAATGCACCTTACTTTTTGCACCATAAATTTATGGATGTAGTACAGTCACAAACCACATTCATTTTCGCCGATGGCGCCGATGCTACAATTTTATCGGCGTATCACAAAAGTGCATGTGGTACATAGTTCCTGTATCTCTAAAACGGACATTAATGCGCTAGTGTACGGGAAGTTAGAAGCGTTGCAGGGAAAAGGCCGAGATGGCCGTTCTCAAGTTTCTCTCCGGTAGAACACAAGACAACAAAAGCGATGAATAACGAAATGTTTCAACGAAAACGATCTATTTGAGATTTAATCGGCGGTAGAGGCGAAAAGAATACATAAATTATTGACAGTTTACTCGCATTTCTTACGCCACAGTAAAAGCGTTGAAGATAAAACGTTAATACAATACAAAAACGGAAGATCGAGCGCGAGTATTGAATCTTGCAGATATATGCTTACGTCGACGTTGCAGTAATTCCAAGTAATTCTTGACGGTCAAACGCATTCGTTGATCTGCATGTGTCATCCAGAATAATGATTCCTTGTTATATAAATTACACATAAGGAAATGCTATGGTGAAGAAAAAGTGTATGAAATTCTTTCAATCTTTTGCAACGGATGGTGGCACTCGAAAATGACTGACTCTACCTCTGCCGCTTCTTCTTTTGTCAGGTAACGTCTGCTCACTTATACAAGTTTCACGATTTTTCGCGTGACTATAATATTTGCTATATTAATTTCAAGTTTTTAAATGATACACAAGATAAATTTAATTTAATGAACATCGTGATATAAAAGATAGCTCATGTGTTTCGTGGAAAATATGCATTTAACCTTATATTTTATGTAGAATAAAAGAACAAATGGAGATGACTGACGAGAGAGAGAAAGAGAGAGATAAATAGATAGACCGGTATTCATAGTCGGATCTTATATTTAAGTACAATCTTAAAATGTCATGAACTAAAATACAGAGTCGTATTAGCATCTTAAGACATTACTTAAGACAGTCTTAAAATAAGAACGGACTATGAATCTATCTATAGATGAGAGAGAGAGAACATCCAAATACATAAACTTTAAACATGTTAACTCTTTTTTTTTATAATTTTAATATCCTTGCATTTGCCATTTTTGCTACATTTTAATGTAACGTGTTATGACAAAAGCATAAAATTCATTAATTATACTTAAAATTTTAGAAGAAATACAGATTAAATATGTACATGTTTAATATTATAAGTACATAGTAAACATATGTACTTAAGATGTATTAGTTGTATAGTACCTGAAGGTAAATTTAAAGATTTGAAATGTGTTTAATATTTACACTTCAAATTAGCTATATACATACAAAAGTTGTATGAATAAGATTATATTTTTATTTAATAATCTATTTTAATAATTTATTTTGGTCTGTTTATTATTAAAAATTAAATTATTTCTTACAACATTAAGAGAAATTTTAGTTTTTTGTGTAAGTATAGTAAGAGTGTTAAAGATAATTTATAAGTTTTATTGCGATTGTCTGTTTACTTATTTTGTAAATAAAATTCTGTTTATTTATAGAACAACTAACCTCTTCATCGCAATAAATCTATTATTTAAAATTATATATTATATATCATTTTGGATATTTAAAGTATTTAAATAAAAAAATTCTGGTTTTTAATGATATATTTCTTAATATTTTTATCAGAGCCACATATTTATTTCTTATTGAAATAATTTTTTATCCATATAGAAAATTGCTAAATTTTTTCTAATACTTTTAAATGTAATATAAAAAATATTATATTTATATATTATATTAGATTATAGTTAAACTGTGATGTGTAGATAGTATATTACAAGGTAGAGGAATCGATACTCTGATACTCGGTGCTGTGATAAGATAGATTAAATTAGCACAGATATTTAGGAACAAACAAAAAGTTAAGAATAAGATATTTGTAGCGTAGTGAAAAATTATAGATGGAGTTATATAGTGTTAGGTTTTTTGCAGTGTGGAAGGATGAGTGTGGTTAAGAAATTTAGTGTAAATCAAGTTTCTTCTTGGCTGTAAGCTGAAGTAATAAAGTTTTATGTAATATAAAATAACTAGTAATTTTTTTCATAATTTTTTAAATGTTTTCAAAATATGTCCGATACATCGTTAAAAACATTTTAATTACGGTATATTAATCGATATAAATTTTGTTTATTACATATCTTTGATGAATAATTTACTGTTTAAACTGTATATGATCCTTTTTATTCCATAAATTATAATATAATTAAATTAAAGAAAACAGTACAAATTATAACCTAATCTTTAGTGCATGATACGATAAGCTAATAAAATATTTATTGTAAATATAATTGTAAAAATAAACAGTTTTTAAAAATGCAGGAATTAAACAAAAATTAATAAAACTAAATATATAAAACTCACTTGTATCAAAACAATATAAATGTAAAACAAGGGTAATGAGCAAATTAGATTACAGTTGCTAAAAAAAACATCATAATACTTCAAGTAAAATAAAACATACATTTCGACCAGACAATTAAGTCATTATCATCAATGGGCGAGCTCACGACAGCAAAGTGGCTAGGCATGGTTACCGAGCGATTGAATATGATTGGTTGGATCTATAAGTAACAACCAATTATGTTTATTTGCTCGGCGAGCAGGTTAGCCACTTTGACAATTTGAACGCGCCCAATGTTGTTCCGGTAAATATAAAATTTTATTCTTTTTTCATTTTATTTTTTGTAACTAGATTAATTGTATGTAATTACAGTCGTTAGAATAATTTGCGTATATAACCGTTAGGATGTAATTTTATATTTATCGGAACTATATTTATAATGATCTAATAGTCTTTTTAGCAACTGTAATTTGGCTTTTGCTCATATATCTTTGTTTAAAACAAGAATTCTTATATTAATTATCTAAAATTGTTTTTATTTACTACATTACGATTTTAAAATGGCACTTTGAATTATATATTATTTCAACATATTTTCGTTAAAGTACTAAATGCATAAGTTTAAATACAAAATATATTCTTTTTTATGACAGAAGATAGAAAATTTTCAAATACATGAGGAAATGTTTGGAATTTCCGGTGCATATGTCTTTAATACATAATATCCTGTTAATAACAGTCTATTATCAATAAGACTTATGAATAAATCTATCTACTTTTATTTATATATTTCATATGTACATCTTGTAGAATAATCGGCAACATAGTGACTTTACTGAAATGTGTTGTGCGGACGGCATTTGTGATAGTAAACAATGTCTATTGCATACCTACGTATGTAGTATGGATGATGTTATTGTTTCCTGTAAAAATATATCAACCTCAAGTGTACTGGCGAATCGAAGGCCTATTTTTCCACTGGTTATTGGCAATGGTATCAATGTGGACTTGGTCTGCAGGTTACGACAGTAAGTACCATTGAAAGAATGCAAATTAGAAAAAAATAAGTTTGTTGAAAAGGAAAATAAATTTTTTGTTCTCCAGTAATAGAGCAAGGTGATGACATACAGAAAATTATAAGTGAAAAAACATTAGTTATAGCGAATCATCAGAGCACTGGTGATGTTCCTATATTAATGACAACATTTAACGCCAAACCAAATGTTCTACCTAATTTAATGTGGATAATGGATAGAGTGTTCAAATTTACTAATTTTGGGATAGTTTCTATATTGCATCAAGATTTTTTCATTATATCGGTAAGTGCGAATTTGTTTCTTATAAATGCATACAGGATATTCCTTGAATCAGTAATTGAATTGGGATTGAATAATTAACATGTTACATAATGCTATATCAATGAATTTGTCTTTTTATATACTATAAGAATATGGAAAGGAAAATATATGATTCTAAAAATATGATTTTATATATGATTTAAAAAAACAATTTAACTTTGATTTTTTCTTAAAAAAGGAATAATTTTGAAATTTTTCTTATAAGATTCTTCATTAAAAACCAACAAACTTTTGAAACGTTTTATTGTTAACCCATCGATATTATCTAAAAAATCATGGCGACTGATTCAAGGCAACATTCTGTATGTACAGGATCTATTGAATATAGGTTTATACTACTATTTACTTGCTTTTTACAAAATATAATGTAATATAATGTAACAGAATTCGGGTTATCTGTTACCTTCAGCTAATATATATTAGATAACTATAGGGACGTAAACGAAGGGAAGAAAGTTTAAAACAATTACAAAAACATCTCAAAGATTCATACATACCACGAGATAGAAAATGGATGGTACTTTTCCCGGAAGGAGGCTTTTTGTGTAAAAGACGAGAGACCTCGCAAAAATATGCTAAGAAGAATAACCTGCCTATTCTTGAGAATGTGACTTTACCAAGAGTAGGAGCTATGCAGATGATTTTCGATACCCTTGGACCAGCAGGGAATAGGAATGCAGAGGATCAACACCTGAATAGTCGACCAAGTATAAAATTATATTTTGTATCATAAATTATTGCATGTTAATTTTATTATTAATATATTAATATGTATATATGTATTATAAAATATAACTTGATAATGCTTTCACGGTTTTCAACATATATCTTATTATATACATCAATATATACATATATCAGTGGTATATACAAATTTTACTTATAGTGGTATTATTGCAAAATATATTATGTAATTATATATCTATAGGTTTGACGGTAGTTAATCCCGAAATTAGTTGGGTTCTTGATATAACAATAGCGTATCCTCAAGGTAAGCCGCTTGACTTGCCTACTATTATAACTGGTTCAAGACCTCCGTGTGAGACGGTATTATTTTATCGACTTTTCCCTAGTTCAGTGGTAAGTGACTTGACATGTAATATAACTTATAATGCAAATACACATAGCAATATGTTACGTGATATTTTATGATGGTAGGTACCTCGCGAACCAGAACAATTATCCAGATGGTTATATGATAGATGGGTAGAGAAAGAGGTACTATTGGAACATTTTTATAAACATGGATCATTTCTTGGCACAAACGGAGGAAGTACCAAAGTACATCAGGATCCATTAAGATTCCTAGTCCTTCATTTATTCTTTATAACGTCTAGTTATATACATTATAGCATGCTTACGTATGTACTATCTTGCTTTTGGTAAGATGTTTTTATATTATGTGCGACGCACGATGGTCCAAGAAAGAAATCACAGTAACGAAGTAAGATATCCTTGCCTTAAATAACCATTTTCATGTTTATGAAAATAATTCTAATAAAAATGTAGATTATATTAAATTCGACAGTATACTCACGTTATACGTCATTTGTGTAACACTTATTTTTATTTAACAGTTGTAAATGAATGGTATTTACGATTGGTATTAAGAGTTGTATTTGTATTTTAAACATGAAATTATATATAACACTTTTTAAATTTGATTTCAAACTATTAATATATTTTATATTTAGCAAAATACAATTTCAGTTACGTTTCTAATAGCGTTTTCGGCCCGGCCGGATTTGCACCAACCTGGGTTGGATTAATGGCGTTTTGCGCTCTTTTATTGGTAAAGCGTGTGACGTCAATCAATAGGAAAGATTAATCCAACTCAGGTTGGTGCAAATCCGATCGGGCCGAAAATGCTATAAATCTGGAAAACCAATTCGGCGCGCAATTCGAGAAACTACAAACGTGATATATAATTCACATGAAATTATTTAAAGCACTTAAGATCCAGCTTCAATTGGTATAGGCATTACTTCTTACTTATTGAAAATACAATTTGTTTCTGCAATTTTTAATCATTGCTCTACATAGCTTTAAAATTATTTTTCTCATACTCTATACTGTACAAAGTATAAGTTACATAACAAACCTGTTTTTATATATAATAAATTAATATTCGTATATCTTCGAACTTGACGATGGAATATTCTTAGAACAAAATCGTTGGTGTGACGCCAAATTGTAAATTTATTTTCTTCACTTTTGGACAGTGTAGGATATAAAAATATTTAATTGTAAATTTAGAATACGCATGGAAATAAATATTTCCTCTGTAATATCAAATATGTGATCTCTTATTTAATAGAGGTGCATAATGCGTTTTGCTACAAGTTCTTGGGAATGCGTAAAAATATGGCATTTAGATTTTTTTATCAACGTTAGATAATTTCGCACCTCTTAATCTACATGATTCTATTATATATATTGTATAATAAATATTATCCGGTTTCTCACATGGATTCAATTTTAGATATCAATTAGGTATCATTCACGTTAACTTTTATTACCTTCACTAATAATATGTGAAAATAATGTTTGTATTTACATATACCTGGTAGTAACAAAATCTTTGTAATATATAGCATCGCATGTGTGTTTATGTAAGTTGATTATAAAGTGATATACATTTTATATCGATATACAATAGGAGAAACACATTTTTGTGGAATAGTAATAGTCGAATCTTTTAAAGAAGTACTCATTTAGTTTTTTATGATACAATAGCAAAAGATATTTTTCAAAAAAAACATGGTCCATTTTAAAAACATTTTTTAAACATCACGTTAGGGAAATTTTGTAATAATAAATTTGTAACTTTAGCAACATAAATTAGAATTAGATTAATGGAAAAATATGATTGTTTGAAAACAGAAAACAAAAAAAAAGGTTTAGGGCCTTTATTTCCGATTCGTTGTGTAATCACATTACGGTCTTATAAGACATTTTATATTGCAAATAAAAAAAATATTGTACCGGATGTGTATGAAATAATAAGTGGAATATATTTTTCATATCCAGAAATTATTAAATGCATATAAGAAATCTTGGTCTTTTTCAAAAGCGTTTTGTTCTTTTCTCGGCATTTCTAATGATCTTTAATTGTAACAGTACAATTACATGATATCCTATATGCTATTTTAATAACTTATTAACTATTTTATTAACTTAAAAATTAATTCGTAATTGAAAATATATATATCTTGGAAGAAAAAAATATCGTGGTATAGTTTTTGAATTATGAGAAATTAATATTGGTTAACGATCTTGCATATAACTTATGCGCTTATTTCCATGATTACATATACCGACGATTACCAATTGATCTATTATTTATACTGATTTTCGCAGCTTCTGTGGTATTGATTTTCATTGCAGAACTTATTACATTTTATATCGTACACGTAAGCCGTAAGAAATTAGCCAATCACAGTCGATTATTCTTCTCACACTTAATTGTGATTGGCCAATTTCTTACGGCTTACGATTTGTGACCTTATTGTAGAACAGGCATTAAGGCCCGTCTACAATACACGGAGTAAGAAGTAAGAGTAAGAAATTGACCAATCACAGTCGAATGTGAGAAGAATAATCGACTGTGATTGGTCAATTTCTTACTCTTCTTACTCCGTGTATTGTAGACGACGCCTTAGTCTTTCTTTCTGTTCCTACCACTCTAGTGTCTACTGCACACTGGATGCGATGAGCGACGAGCGATATCCAATAAAAGGTTTGCTTTGCATCGTCGTATGAGATAAAGCAAAGCTTTTATTGAATATGATTAGTCGCTCATCGCTTATCGCGCCCAGTGTACAGTAGGCATAACTAGAGTTGTGCAGGGACTATCAAAAGCGCTCGTTATGCCTAGAGTCCTAGATTTATCAGAGAGGCGCAACCGGCTTAAGTCAGTATGACAAAGGTGCTAAGAGTACTAAACATGGCCGACATGCTATGAACTATGCCAAAACTGCTTTTAAACTATGTCAAACAAGATAAGACGTATAGGGTAATATGAGATAGAATGTATAGAATAAAATGAAATAGAAATATGTCACTAGTACTATAAATGGCTGCCAAGTCACGCAATTGGTTAGATTGCAACAGCGAATCAGAATGCATAACACCGGTTGCGCCTCTCTGATAAATCTAGGACTCTAGGCATAACGAGCGCTTTTGATAGTCCCTGCACAACTCTTGCCGCGTGACGGAAGTTGGCGCAATAGCCAATCAACGTCTTGCTTGCTTGGAAGTAATAGACACTGCTTTCCGTTTGATGACACAAATCGACGCAAGTCGACACAA